TTCCAAACGGCATCCAGCTACCAATACCTTCCAATGCGACCAACGCGACCCTCCACCACAATACGAACCACTTAACCCTCTCCCTCAACACCTCTACCTTCAACTACAAATCATTTTTCAGGATCCCTCGGTATTAAGAGCGAGGGTAAGGAAGAAGAAGAAAGAGGTTATTTCAAACTTGTGTAGGGCCAAGTTTGGTGTAGTGAGGCGCGCTGTGTATCTAGTAGCGAGTGAGGTCACATGTTCAGTTTTTCTAATCGCGGATCGAGTGTCTATCCTACCCCCTATCCCCCCCCCCTCCATCTCCGCTTGACGGATGCCATCTGATGAACATGCCCGACTTTTCCTCCCACGTAGGGTGCAGTGTATTTGGATAACTTCCTCATAGAGTTTAAGTGCCCTGCTTCAGCATCCTTTCGCACTGATACAGTTCTCTCTCAGTGAGCTAAACGCGTCCCCCCTGCAACTCAAATACGTTCCTCGATGTTAAATCGACATCCACATTGGCTCTAATCCAGAACTCGCGCCTCTACCACCTATGAGACACACTGTAGAGATCTGTGGTCACTTTTAATCTGAATTAATTTCAGAGGGAATGCCTCCTATTTACTTGTTTAACCCATTTTTCAATCAGGTAAGAGGATTAACAGCTGAAAAATGTCATTCATCTGCTGATTACTTACTCGTTATATTGTTTTGAGTTACGTCAACATCCCTCTGATAATAAATTACCCGAAGTCATGCGCCTCGAGGTAAAGCAGCACTAGAGCCATCTGCTTAGCGCCGAATGGAGGGAGCTTTCGGCCGAATGACGGAGGTCTGAGTGAAATCAAGCTCACATCCACTTGAGAAAAATATCGCCCAAAAAGTAACATCATAGTAACCCTACATAGTGGTTTCAGCAGCATTCGCGCTCTTCAGTGGCGTTTTTCTGAATTATTTCAATGCCCAGAAATCGTTTGTTTTTCGTGATATTGTCCCCAAGGGACCGCTACATACTACTCGGCCCAAAGCGTCTTCAAGGGCGATGCGAGTGCCCAGCCTTCACGCTAACACCGCCATTCGACGCTAAATGTCGTGATGATTAATAGGCCTGCCGATATTTAATTCTACGACCCGGGTTTTCTGGATTTTTAAGCAGAGACTGCAACAGTTACGCCCCCACCAATCTGAAATTACGGTAGAAAATTTCCTGAAACCTTCGATCTTTAACGTCCGCATTTGTTACTTGAAAAAAAGCTATTTATATCAAAGCGGGGGCAAGTGCTCGTTTAATGCCATTAAAACCAGTATGAAAAACTTTCAATTGTGAAGCATGTTGTAATGAAGATAGCTTATGGGGTGCTTGCAGAGCTCAAAAAAGTCTATTGCACTCTGATTGATTTACTGGTAATCCCCTTCGACTCGGCTTCGAACTTCCAGGGGTACTTTGCTATGATTCGTTTAGGAACTGCGATTTCTGACCCCCATTTCTGTAGATGCACCAGAAGACGAACCCTCCTTGTCGCAAAGGACTTTTAGGACATTTGAAAGCGCCATCCTGCTAGAATGGGGCGCTTTGGTGGAAAACAGAGCCCAAAGCTTCGAAGCACCGACGAGTTCTTTTTGCAATAATACCCCTCGGGGGGGGGGGATGGGGGGTAAAACACTTGTCGTACAAAGCTGAGATCCCCGCAACTTAGATAAGTACTGACTATGGTACGGTGGTATTCCAGTTATCTGAGAGCGCTGAGTTGTGGGGCAATCATAACCCAGGCGGGACTGGAACTCGAATTGTTGGTTTCAGTTTTGTACAGGGACCCACTTAAATGCTCACCCCCCCCCATGCGCTTTTTTTGACATAACCGTAAACAGCAATACCAACCAGTCCCGAGTAGTATAGGTGGAAGTATCGCTAGTCCCACCTCCACACAAGGGTCGGCCCGTCAACCCAGAAATCCCTTTGCTGGGCGAAAAATCCCATTCTTGCACCCACATTAATTTCGTTGCATCTTCCAGGACACTGAAAAATGGCTTAGAAACGGACATTTCGCAGCTGCAAGAATCGCCTTGCGTAAAATCGAAATCTACCGTTATCCGCAAAAATTGATGCACCAAAACGTCCCGCACTGCCGTGGTAGCACCCAGTTTTCTAACGACTAACGATGGCATACTAAGTAAAATGGAAGCAGAAGATCCGTCGAGGACACGGAGGCACAAGGAGCACTAGGGAGCATACAATCGCGCAAACAACGAGGGCAGATACCTAATCATGGGTGGGGCCAGATCAAAGAAGGTGTGGTCATGCA